CACTTGGGAGAGAGGCAGAGGCAGGCAGATCTTTGTAAGTTCAAGGCCAGCTTGATCTACATAGTGAGTTCAGGTCAGCTGGGGCTACAGGGAGACCCTGCCTCAAAAAGACCAAAAAAAAAAAAAAAAAAAGTGAATTCTCAAGTGGCAAATTCCTTAGTTTCTCAGTGTGTTTGCATTGAAGACATGAGAGGTGAGAACACTCAAGGACAGCTCCCCTCCCCCAACCCAGGCACAAGGTGATTAACATCCAGGGATTGGGGGGGGTGTCACGCTGATGAGAGGGGGCCTGTACCCTTGACCCAACCCCTAGAGTGCACTTACCCAGGGGTGACGGCAGGTGGGATGACCAGGATGGCAAGGAGCCGGGCCTGGTGCAGTGCCTCAGCCAAGTGGGTAAGCATGTGGATGAGGCTCCTGCAAGAACCAAGAAGCAAGATCAGCCCAGGGCATTGTGGGGCTCCCTGGCATCCAATGCTTCAAGAACACAGCAGATGAACCCCCCCGTCTGAGGCCCTTCTGCAGAAAGAGTTGCTTCACAGGGTTCCTATCCTACTCTTCAATGTGAACCCACAAGGAACCTGGGGAAGAGGTGACCCTATACCCCAAGTGGGCCTGCCCTTCCTCATATTTGGGTGTCCCACAGCAGAAGTCTATTTTTTAGGTTTTGGGAGCCCCGAAACACTGTATCCTAGTCACCTCTGTGCTATGAAAAAACACAGAAAACATTAAAAGGCATATCAGGTAGGAGCCCTGGGAAGAAAGGAGGGGGCAGAGCACCTAGAGGAGATACCAGGAATACAGGGGCCAACAGATGGGGGACTAGTCAGGGAGGTATGACGGTGACTGGCGGCGTGCCTCAAGGACAAATATGGACTTCTCCCCCCACATGGCTTGGGAGCCCACCCTTCACTTCTTGACCAGTGTAGGTGGCGAGTGGACTGCCCATGATGTGTCCAACACCAATTGCTGCCCTGAATGTGGCTTGTCTTAAAGGGGCTGACCCAGTGTAGCTGCTATAACCTCAGCTTACTGTGCTGTGCCCACTCGGGGAGGTTCTACTGGTGCTGTGTGAAACTCTTACAGCAGGACTCCTGGGGACAGCCCTATCAGCAGACGGGATGCCAAGTCCTACATCCATAGGGCCAAGGCTGGGTCCCCCACCAGTCACAGGACCAGCCCCCAGTGCATCTCTGCAGAGGGTGGGTAAGGCGAGAGTCCTCTCAGTGGCCAACTACTGGACAGTGATAGCCTGTTCTCCCTGATATGGCCCAAATTGAGCTATAACTTTCTGACCTGAATGCCACTGACTCCAATGTGAGAACTCTAGCCATGAGGGGCTAAAAAAATCACTTAAGTTCCAGTTGTCTGTCTGTCCTTCCTTGGCCTGGAGCCTACTTCACAGGTGGCATCAAAAGCACAGATCACATTGGATGGAGAAGAGGCTTGGGGAGGCCCATCCTAACACTTCTGTGGGCGGTCACCCACTGGCATACCACTTATACAGGTGAATACTGCCCATGCACCAAAGGACCAGAGGCCCAGGAGCCAGGCAAGTCAACCACACCTAGGGAGGAACTGCCTGCCTGGCTCCAGAACAGCGGGATAGCCTTTCCCCAGGACATACCAGACTGAAGGGCCAAGAAGCACCCAAGACAACTCTGTGAGGGGTCTCAGAAGATAAGAATGAGTCTACCCTATTCCCTCAAAGGGCCCACACTGTAGCCACTCTGGGCTTGGGGACTCTGTAAGGACACCCCACACACAGCTCTAGAGGGACTAGCAGTAGTGGTGTCCCTACCAAGGACTTTCCCAACAGAGCCTGCAGGCAGCCTGCCTCTGGGCCTATGTCTAGTGGCCGATGCATGTCATCAGAAGGCTCTGAGTCCAGTTTTGGGACTGGCACACTGGGGAATGGACAAACTCGGGGGTAGGGTAAACAGACACTTGGTTAGCAGTCTGTCCACCTCTGTCTTAAAGGACAGAGGGACCAGCCTCTTTCAGAGACAGGCTGTGGGGCTACTACAGGGCTAACAAACCCAAGAATCTGCTGCTGCCTCCAACGGCCATCACTTCACCTACCACTTCTGCCTTCCATGTTTTGGGGAGGACTATAACAGGACCCTTGGTATGTGCTGGGATGAGACCTGGGGGGACAGCTCTGTAAATGGAAAAAGTTTCTGACAGGGCTGGCCAAGGCCCTAGATTGCTGTCCACAGTACTACCTGCTCTAGAGGCTCAAACCAACAGGTACTTCATGAGGATGAACGGCTTAGTTCTCCCTGAAGGACTTTGGTGGGAAGCCTAAGCAGGGCTTGCGCTTATAGGAACCTAAAATTAGCTGGCCCGAAGGGCTGCCTGCACAGCCCCTCCTACCTTGACTGGCTGGCAGTTTCTGTCTCAGTGACAGATGGCACTCTTGAGAAAAGTCTCCATGGCTGAGTCAGGCAGTTCCTTGACACCTCCCCATGCTCCAGGAAAGCCAGGCATCAGGCTGGCCAAGAGTCACGGGTCCTACCACTACCTTGGACCAAGGGCAAGCAAACATGCTGAGTGTGCCAAACACGGCCCTGCTAACCTGACCTAGCACTTCAAATCTAGGATGGATGCCTGTAATGGTGAGGTAAGATGTAACCAGAGCACTGGTCTCCTTAAACATTCCGACTGTGTACTGCCATGGCCAGGCCCATCCTGGGATAGTGTCCAAAGGACTCACCAAACCAGCTGGCTTTTGCTGCTCAGGAGCCTTGTCCCCTGGGCAAAGGGTCATGTGGGCTGCCCCTACTTCCACTTCCCCTGCTCAGGCTGTCTCCCATCCTAGACCTCCCACTCTGATAGTAACGACCTGTCAACACAATGAAGCTGTCTCACTGCCTACTGAATGTGCTGAAACGCAAATGAATTACAGCAAATCTCTGATTAAAAGATCTTTAGTCTCCAGGATTAGCAGAAAGGACAGCCAGCAGCAGAGCTGGTCTCCTGCTCAGACAAACCCCCACCCTCAGAGTGCCAGGTCAGCTTTGGTGGGGCCCTGGGTTATCTAATGGCTGAGAGTCGGGGATACCTGGCCCTCAGGCCAGAGCTGGGGTCCCTCAGAGGCAGTGCAGGCTCCCCACTAACTCGGGGATACATGCTTTCCTGCTTATCTTCTTCCCCTGGCTGGGGTCTTTAATCAAGGGCAAGGTTCAGGCATACCTGGCTCTCAGTACGGAGGTCCTGCACATCCCTTCATCAGATGACTTCTTCATCCCCTCCCCCATAGCGCTACACCCCAACCAGAGCCAGCCATAAGAGGGTGAGGATGCTGCCTCCCAGTGGGCAGAGTCGAGACCTGCAGGCCTTCTGCATACAGAAAGGCAGGTGACAGCGACACCAGGGGGGCCTGCCTTTGTAGGGTAGGCATGGACCAGAGACTGGCTCACTCAGTTCTGGGCTATATCTTAGAATCTAAGAGGAATTCCCTTAGGTAGGAAAGGGAAGGGAGCTGATTCCAGAATCTACTGCTTACCCAAAAGGCTGACAGCTAGCTGCAGACCTCTGCTGCCTAGACACCTGCCACTGGTTGCACAACCTCTGCCTTAGGACCACACCAGGTCCACCCAGGCAAAATGTTCCTTGTGCTATCTTCTCTGAGGTTCAACTTCTAATGTGACAGAGCCAGGAAAGGTAGCTGCTTCCAGTGAACCAGACAGCCTGAGCTAAGGCCCCAGGAAGGGCCATTCCTCAGGGCAACAGGCAGCCTTGGGCTGTGCTGGAGTTGCTGACGCTTTCCACCACTCCAACCTTTCTTGGTCACACTGGCAAGGGGAGTGGGATCCCATGAGCTTCAGGCATGTTGGGGGCTGCCTGCTCCTATGGCAACCAGGAGCATGAGGGCATGTGCAGCTTCCTCCCTTGGGCTTGGACCTTCCTTCCTCAGGGGACACTGTGACCACCACACCCCAGGTCCTGGCCATATGTAGCCTCCTTTCAACATCTCAGGATGGCTCTTTTGTACTTAGAGAGGGAATCTGCTTATGTCCACGCTGGACCTTGTGGCAGACTTGGCCACCCTTCTCTTTCTGAGTCCTCATGGGTGAGGATGCCCCATTCCCTTTAACTATGCACAAGGGGCCTCCAGGCTAGCACAGCGATGTGGTCAGGGCTAGTTACCTGCCCCATGGCCATTCATGGCTTTTCTGCATAGGCCTTCCACCTTTCAAAGGATCTCATTCCTAACCCAGAGCCCAGAGCCCAAGGAATGCAGGCCCTCCCAAACAAGCTCCCTTTCCCCTTGGTCTTTCCTCTGGCTCCTCCAAACACAGGGGTCAGGAAGAGCACACAACAGCTGCCCACACCCCACTCACATGTGTTTCTGGCTCAGCAACTGGCTCCAGATCTCCACCACAAAACCATCAAAATGCTGGTTCTGAAAGAAAAGGGGGCAGGTGAGGAGAAATGGAAATCTAGGGGGGTTGGGGAAGACAGAAAGAGCCACTGGCTCAGCACCTGTCAAGGTAGCCCAGTAACTCATGAGGCAAGACCTAAGTTCGCACTACACATTCACTGGTCCCTCTGAAGGGGGCAGCACATAGCAAAAGGGCCGTGGTGCTCAGGTATTCTGTTCACCACAGCTCTCCACCTTATAGCAACCAGGCATAATGGTGTCTACCAGGGATGGGCCCACCCCAAGGAAGGTAACTGGACTTCAGCCAAAGGAAGCTCTCCGGCCCAGGAGACAAGAAATTTCCCACTCCTGGGACTCCCGAGGGACTCCTATGGGCAAAAGGCTAGGTATGATTGGTGCTTCCCCCTGGAAGGCATGGGTTGCACAAGGAAATACCCTAGAAGAAAGCTAGGCAAGAAGAGCAGAGTCATCTGGCACAGTAACACTGCCTGTAATCCTGAACTTGGGAGGCAGAAATTTAACGCCAGCCTCAGCTATATAGTGAGTTTAAGGCCAGCTTGGGCTACATGAAATCTTGTCTCAAAATAAAAGAGGAGGGGCAGCAAGATGGTTCACAGGGTAAAGGAGCTTGCTGCCAAGCCTGATGACCTAAGTTTAAACCCTGGGACCCACATGGTAGAAGAGAACCAACTCTCCAAAGCTGTCTTCTGATTGTGCACTCACACCCCCACATGCACTTGTACATACACACAAATAAATAAGTAAATATAATTACAAAATTTTTTTGAGACAGGGTCTCCCTGTAGCCCCAACTTGCCTGGAACTCACTATGTAGACCAGGTTGGCCTCTATTTCACAGAGATCCATCTGTCTCTGCCTCCCAAGAGCTAGGATTACAGCATGAGCCGCCAGATCCAGCAATTAAAAAAAATTTTTTTTTTGGTCTTTTTTGAGACAGGGTCTCCCTGTAGCCCTAACTGGCCTGGAACTGACTACATAGACCAATCTACATTGGCTGAGCTCACAGAAATCCACCAGCCTCTGCAGCGTGTGCCACCACACCTAGCAATTTAAAAATTTTTGAAGGAAGACAAGAGATAGAAGGCCCAAGGGAGCTCCAGCCACAGGGGGTGGGTGTGATGAGAGGGGCAGCATGGCCTGTCTGGGGAAGTGGGGCCTGAGCTTGGAGGTCCTAAAGAGCACACAGGTCTCACCTTTGCCACCTGGACCACAGTCTTACTGAGCTCTTCTATCTCGTCCTCATTGTCCAAGACGCTCCGGAGATCATCGTAAGTCCAGTCCTCAAACAGAAGCCGAGGCACTGGAGACAGACAGACACACACACACACACACAAATTTGTGATCAGGAAACACTGAATTACTCTCTGATGCTTGCCACTTGCCAAAAAGGTATCCCCTTGGCTTGCAGAGCAGAATCTGCAGTGACAAGCAGGGGGGCCCCCAAGGCAACCACAGATCCAGTGTGGACATCCCACACCACACAGCCTGGCAGGGAGAGGGAGGGAGTAGAGAGATACTAACAGCCCCACCCCAAGGCCACACCTTTCAGCAAAGTGGCTGGGCCAAACTCTAGCTCATTTGGATCCTGGATGCTGCTATCCCACCTACACCTATCACCAACCTCAATCTGACCCAATGGCTTCCACTCCTACCACAGGTTCCCTCCTGGCCCTGCAGAGGCCCTGTGTCCTGCTTACTGTCCCAGTCCCAGGCTAGACCCCTAGTGCTCCAGTCCAGCCCTATCACTACTCCTGAACTTTGGGTCGTCTCCTTTCAGACTGCACCCCATAAACTTCCTCTGCTACCGCCAAGCTCCTGCTGTTCCTTGGGGAAAGTGTCCTTCCCTTACCAGCTGTAAGCCAGAGGCACAGGTGGGGGAGCGGCAGTGTCACCCTTAGATCTAGCCTAGGGTCTGGCTCCAGGGGACTCAGTAGTGCTTGCTGGACAGGCAAAGAAGGGAGACATGAGAGGAAGAACTATGCAGGTGAGACGACCAGCTAAGAACGTGCTGTTGTTGGTGGGTCAAACCTAGCCAAGGGGAGAGCCCAAGGCGTGGGCTGACCCAGGGGCCATGAACACCAAGTAGGGGCTGGCCCTGGCCCAGCACTGTCAGGAAAATAACCTATTCTCAAGTAGCACAACCTGGACTGTAAGAAATGCTCAAGGACCCCAGGCCCCTATCCACTCCCAGGGAGGCTGTGCCATTTACACAGCATGGCTGAGACTGACCTGACCATGCCTAGGCCTGCTGGACTCACCTATACGCAAGCCTTTGGCATGCTTCTTGACAGCTCGCATCCACCCTGTGGGAGGTAGAAAGGACAGTTGGTGCAGGGACAGGTGTCTAGTCCAAAGATTCAGACCATCGCCGACCCCTCCACTAGCTCAGGGGCAACCTTGAGTCACCCCTATCCTCCCTCTCTCTGGTTCCACTCCCTCCTCCTGTCCCCAGCCTTGCCCACCCCCCTATCATCTTCCTACGGTTCTCACAGCATTAGGGAAAACGACTCCTGGTCTCAGGACTCCAAAACCAGTCAAGCCTCCCCTGCTAATTCTGTCAGAGCCCAAATGTGGCTCAGCCGTGTAGATTAGGCCCTTTCAACAGCGTGTGCCATAAGCGGAGCAGATACTCAAGCCCATATGCCTCCCTGGACACCAAGTGCAGACTTGCTAAGGAAGGGAAAGAAGGGGAAGTCAAAGGCCTGTGTCCTTTATTGCCCAGAGGCTGTACAAGTTGCCTCAGAGCCTGCTCAACTTGCACTCACATGCAGCCCTGACATGCAAGGGAAGGCACGCTGACAGCCCTGGGGTCACAGAGTCTGAAAGGAGAGGAGAAGGCACAAATTCCTAGTGCCCTTCAATCTGTCATCTCCAGGACAGCATCTCACTTCCTGTGGCTACCAGGACACTGACCAGCCTTGCAAAGGACCTCACAGTGGTGACTATCTTGGGAATTACCTTCACCTGGCCCACCATGCCCCACTTGTCCTTCCACCACCCTGCATACCAGGCCTGCACTCCGGCCCAGCCATGTGGCATCGGGGAACAGGCCACATGTTCCTGACACTCACACCCACAGTTACAAACCTGTTAGGGTCACATCCTGAGTCACACCCGGACAGGCCTTGAATTTGTAAGTCTCCTCCTCCGCCTTCCGAGTAGCAGGTACTACAGGCCTGAACTACCAAGCCCAGTCAGGCAACCTGATAGATTCCTATGCTCAACAGTCACAGCATATACCGAATCACATATATTCACTCAACAGCACACACAAACACTTTCACTTTCACACACCATACTCTTCTCAGCCCCCAGGGCAAGCACAGACAAGAAGTGGAAGAACCTTGGTCCACATCATGGAGGCCTGTGACTTCGAACATCTCACGGCCACGTCTCTTCAGCTGCAGCCAGACGGGTGAGATCTGTGTGAACTTGCTCCCAAAGACCTTGGCAATATCGTAGCCATGGCTGTTCCACTGGTGGAGGAAGGAGACAAAGAACAGGTAAGCACACCCCTGCATGGCCATGGTGCTGTCACTCTTGATGCTGGGACATGCCCTGGACCATTCCCAATAGTGCTCAGCCTGGACTACCATCAGTCCCCTGCCTAGGCTTCCCTCCTTCCACTCAGCAAAGCTGCTGGGGCTGCTGCCTGCTGCCTGGGATTCAGGCTGATGTTCCCCTTACCAGGGTGACTACTGCTTATCTCTGCGAGCCCCAACCCGGAGTTAATGTGCATATGTTTCTGTAGACTGGCAACTGAGGCTAGTCAGCCCCAGAGCCCATCTCTATAGATTCAGGGGGTATAGATAGGGTCACTAGCAGCCACAAGGAGAAAGTCCCAAGAAAACTCTTTTCTGGTGCTCTTCCTGCTGACATTTCCATGGTGGCATCTCTCCCACAGCCTTACAGCAGCAGTAGCAGCAGTCAGGAAGAGCAGAACACAGGCCAGGAGGAGGCCACTCATGGGGCAGGGAGAACCGGAGCCTCAGAGCCCCAACTCACTGGAGTGACGTAGCCCAGGACCTCTCCAGCAAAGTTTCTCTCCCGAGCCCTGGCTGAGCAGTAGCTGCGATGTTCGAGAACCACGTCCTCAGCCTTGACATCCGTTGTCACCAGACCCCGATCTTGGACAGGTTTATCTGAAAACTGAGTCTGAAACAAAAGTGAGGGGAAAAAAGCTAACGTGTTCTCAGCATGGAATGCTGCATTCAAAGTGACAGTGGCAGCAGCAAGGCTCAACATGGCACTGCTCATCTGGAGACTTGTGGGTAGAGACTCAAAGCCATAGCAGGTGACTTAGCTCGGAAGAGCTCTAGCCTTCAGTGAGCACAGTGGCATCTGTTGGGAGCCATTCTACTGATGAGAGCCAGCAAGAGGTGACAGTGGCCTACTCCACAATGAAGACTGACATTCAGCACCCAGGCCACTGGACGCTCATCTAGACACCCAGGTCCATACACTGAGGACATGCTAGGCACATGCTATCCCCCTGGCCAATTCCTACCTGAGGCCCCCAGCCTGGGTGCTCTGACAAATGCCTTTACCCCACCTCTGTTCCTGGAAGTTCTCCATTAGAGTCTCCACCTGCCAGTTCCACCCACACTCTGGGGCCCAGCTCAACTTCCCTTGACAGCATTCCACTTCCCGGCCTCATCTGTGTGGCCTAGGAGCTAGAGATACCCACTGTATGGGCTCTTTGCCTCAGGGCACAGAGCACTTATCCGTCTGGGCCTGGGTCATAGGAATGACCCTCAGACCACAGCCTGACCAGCCGTGTGGGGACTGCTAGGACTGAGGAGCTGGCTGGACGGTTTACAGTCCCCAGAACATCTCAGGAGAGCTGGGACGATGAGTGAATTCAGCGGGGGTGCAAGGGGGGAAAGCCAGCAAGATGGCAACCATCACAGGACACAGGCCCTAGGTAGGAAGGGCACGGACACCGAAGAGCTAGCCATCGCCCTCAGAGTCCAGCTCCAGAGGTTGCTCACTCACAGCCTTGATCCTTCTTATCCCCAGGGCAACACAGGCTACCCGGCTGCCTACCACTGGCTTGTCAGATGGTTGTGTGAAAAGTCAGGTCCCTCCTACGATCCTATGATCCCAGTCAGGCAGGAGGAAGAAGAATGTACAGCTCAGCCCTCAGCTGCTGTGGTCACCCCAAGCCCCTACCTTCTCCAGAAGAGTCTTTGAAGCAGCTTTTTTGGCATCTGATTTTGACAAGGTGGTGTGAACAGGGCCACAGGCCAGAGCAAGCCAGAGGACATGGAGAAGTGACCACATGGTGTATCACAGTAGGATCCAACCTCTGGGTCCAGGGGCCTGCAGAGAGAGCAAAGAACACGAGGGCAGATGACCAGCACGGGTTAGGCGGAAACCTTATCCTAACAGGGCCTGGGTCCGAGGGACAGATCCCTGTCCAGGCCAGGCCTGGTTGCTGGAATTAAGTCTCCAGCAGTTCTTTGCTTCCCTGTCCAGGCCACTGGTTCCTCTCAGACAACCTCAAGCTGCCCAAGGCTATCCTGACCAGCCATCAAGGAAAACTGTCTCCCACGTTCCCCTCAAAACCAAAGACACCTCAGCAACAGTGGGGTTGACGTGTAAAATAATGGAGACACAGATGATCCTATGCACATCTACTTACATGATTCCAGGACAGAGAGGCCTTTTCCAAGTATATCAATGAGGAGAGAAGATATGAAAGAAAAGACCATTCAAGTTTATTATGTAAAAATGTTTAGCTTTCAAAGCTATGCACTGTGGTAAGTGCCTACAGTCTCAGTTACTAGGGAGGCTGAAACAAAAGCTTGAGTCCAGGGGAGTTCAGGACTAGCTTGGGCAACATATCAAGTCACTGCTTCAAAAAAAAAAAAAAAAAAAGAAATACTTTTCATTTTTTTTAAAACAGGGTCTCCCTGTAGCCCCAGCTGGCCTGGAACTCATTACATAGACCAGGCTAGCCTTAATCTCACAGAGATCCACTGGCTTCTGCCTCTTGGATGCTGGGATTAAAAGCACATGCCACCACACCCAGCTGATATGCTTTTTATATGTATGAACGTTTTGCCTCCATGTATGTAAGTGTACCACATGCGTGCAATGCCTACAGAGGCCAGAAAAAATTGGAGCCCCTGGAACTGGAGTTATGGACGGTTGTTAGTGGAACCCAGGTCTTCTGCAAGAGCAGCCAGTGTTCTTAACCATTGAGTCATCTCTCCAGCCCCAAATAAAACTTTTTTTTTGTTTTTTTTTGAGACAGGGTCTCCCTGTAGCCCCAGCTGGCCTGGAACTATGTAGACCAGGATGGCCTTGAACTCACAGAGATTTGCCTGGTTCTGCCTCCTAAATGCTGAGATTAAAGGTGTGTGCCACCATGCCTGGCCTTTTTTCCTTTTTTTTTTTTTTTTAAGTTTTCTGGGGGCTGGAGAGATGGCTCATCAGTTAAGAGAACTGGCTACTCTTGAAGAGGATCCATGTCCAGTTCCCAGAACCCACATGGCGGCTAACAACTGTCCATTAACTCCAGTTCCAGGAGATCTGATGCCCTCTTCTAGCCTCTGCAGGTACTGCATGCATGTGGTACACTTACATGTAGGCAAAACACTCATACAGATAAAATAAGTGAAACTTTAAAAAAGTAAAACTTGCCGGGCGTGGTGGCGCACACCTGTAGGCCCAGCACTCGGGAGGCAGAGGCAGGTGGATCTCTGTGAGTTCAAGGCCAGCCTGGTCTACATAGTGAGTTCCAAGCCAGCTGGGGCTACAGGGAGACCCTATCTCAAGAAGACAGAAAAAAAAAAAGGAAAACT